TTTCTCTCCATGGTTGTCTCTTAAGGACAGTTGCATGGGTTTTCTCTCCATGGTTGTCTTATAGGATCCCCTGTTAGGGACTGTTGAAGGGGCTTTCTCTCCATGGGTGTCTCTTAAGGACTGTTGAATGAGTTTTCTCTCCATGGTTGTCTTATAGGATCCCCCGTTAGGGACTGTTGAAGGGGCTTTCTCTCCATGGGTGTCTCTTAAGGACTGTTGAATGAGTTTTCTCTCCATGGTTGTCTTATAGGATCCCCCGTTAGGGACTGTTGAAAGAGCTTTCCCTCCATGGTTGTCTCTTAAGGACTGTTGAATGAGTTTTCTCTCAAGGGTTGTCTTTTAAGGATTGTTGAATGGGTTTTCTCTCCATGGTTGTCTTATAGGGTCCCCCGTTAGGGACTGTTGAAAGAGCTTTCCCTCCATGGTTGTCTCTTAAGGACTGTTGAATGGGTTTTCTCTCCATGGTTGTCTCTTAAAGGAGAATTATGAGGTGAGTGATTTTCACTCAGCCTCATAATCTGAGCCGACCTGTGACAATGGGGGCGGGTACAGCTGGCTCTGCCTCTAGATAGCTTGCGGTATACTGAGCTTTGGGTGACGGGAGGACGCTAGTTTCCTCCCGTTACCCTTAGGAGAACTATGGGGAAAAACCCTAACCCCATAGTTCTCCTTTAAGAACTGTTGAATGGGGTTTCTCTCCACGATGGTTTTGTCTTCATGGTGGCCTCATAAGTTCTCCTGTTAATGGTGGACATTTGCCTTGTGATATTGTGTCAGCAGGGTGTCTTATACTTAGTTCAGAGGGCTTTGTATTGTATTGTGTTGTATAGTATTCTTTTATGTTGTGTGTGTGTAATGTGGGTGTATGTTAATTTTTTTGTTTGTTGCGTACTAAAAACTGTAAAAAAAAAAACCTTTAAATAAAAAAGACTGCAATCCCTCATATCACTCATACAGGTTACAATTTTCTTCAAAAGACAAAGAGAAAGTATAACCAAACAGGTCATGGTGAGGTGGGTTTAACCCTTTCCACGCGGCAGCACAGCCCTGTAAACAGTCTCCCAGTTGCTATAGCAACTCGTTTGTGAAGCTGACTGTCTGTTTTCTACAGGAAGTGACTCAGGTGCACGTACAGCCGCCTGATCACTTCCGTTGGTCCTGCAACATGCCGCCCCTCCCTGCCATGTACCCCAGGCACCGTTGCCCCTCCTGGGTGCTCAGGACGCCCCTGGGGGGAATGAGCAGGGAGAGCCGAGGACAATCAGGGAACATTCATTCACCGATCGTCCCTGCAGTGAATGAACTGGGAAGCGATGTGCTTTTCATCACTTCCTGTTTCAAAGCTGTCATCCCCGGGTTGGAGACGAAGCTGATCAAGCACGATCTGTGCTTAATTAGCTTCATTGGAGTGCAAAGGTGACATTAGGGGTCCAATAGACCCCTCATAAGAGAACCTGTCACCTGGCACCAGTGTGCCATAACATAGCACATAGAGTCAACTAACAAAAATGAAAGTTAAATAAATAAAAAAAAGCCAAACTTTTTTTTAAAGCTCTCCACCTACACGCACATATGAACGCAAACACACGTCGGGTGCATTCGTTTATGACGAGTACGCCACACATGTTAAGTATCGCCACACACGCTGGAGCAAGAGCAATAATTCTAGGACGCAGTCCTGTGCTGGTTATACTAGATCACAGCTGCTGGTACCGTTGGTTGCAGCCGACTGTTGGCTTCAAGCTACAAGTGTTCGGATGGATGTGGAGCTTCACAGCGCTTCACTGGGAGCGATACGGCCGGTGTCTGTGGCAGGATTGGAGGGAAATCAGCCCACTCTCCTCCGATCACTGAAACGGGAAGCAATAATGACTTTCTCACTTCTGGTTTCAGGCTGTCACTTCTCCGGCTGCTGTAGTCGAAGAAGAAGGTGGTGAAGCTCAATCTGCGCTTCATCAGCTCCTTTGGGGTCCATAGGTGACATTAGGGCTCTAATAGGCCCCTCATATTTCCATAAAGAGGACCTGTCACTTCCTCTGTGCTATCATATAGGGGGCTTGTTGGCCCTCTAAGTGACAGCAATAAAGTTAAGTGTAAAGAAAAAAAAAAGCTATACTGACATATAGAAAAAGAAAATAAAAAAGACACAAAAATTTGTTTTCAACCCCATACGCACATACAAATATAAACACAATTCGGGTGCGCCCACGTATATGAGAGCAAACATTTTAGCACCATTACTCACGGTTAACTCTAAACTGATGAGCAATAAATGCTTTTAAAGCTTTGTCTACGGGCAATATTGAGTACTGTGGTTTTTTGTCATTTCAGAAGCACTCCCAATTTTAAAGCTTGACATGTTTGGTGTCTATTTAAAAAAAATGGGTATTATATTGTGTTTGTGTGCACTAACATTTATTTTAGTGCATTCTTTCCTTACATATATTTATTTGATAAACATTTGCACAAATATCATGCAACGTAAACAATTACCACTTGCTTTTTTGTATTCGCCAGGGATTCTGCTTTCAGAAAATATATAATTGTTTGGGGGTTTGAAGCTGTTTTCCAGCCAAAAATGAATATTTTAACATGTGTGTGCAAAAATTAAAAAGTTGCTCCTGACACAAAGTGGCTAAAGTGTATCTATTTTTAGTTTTCTTTAGTTTTGGATAGTGAGGAAGGCTTGGAGCAGACCTGGGCATTGTAGGACTGATCGCCGACCTGCACTCGGTTATGACTGGCTGAGAGTGGATGCAGTGGCTTCCCAGGCCGGTGAATCCACCGCAAGCCATAGCCCAGCGCAGGCCCCATCCTCCTCAGCCACTGGACCACTGGCATCCTAGCAACCAATGAGGTCAGGTGTCTACCTCCTCTGCAGTCATTGGTTGCTAAGTCAGCTGGCGTCCTAGCAAATGATGACGTCAGGTCTCCACCTCCTCTGCAGTCATTGGTTGCTAGGACCGCCAGGCCGCCCTAGCGACCTGTGACGTCAAATGTGTTCCCCACGCCCAGAATTACAAGATGGGGCAGTCTGCTCCACCTGCCCGGCTCCAACCTCTGGCCTACTAATAAAATAATAAAATAGGGTATGTGGGGGTCAGGAATATAAAGGGGCTCTCCAAAGGGGAAAAACAATGTAAGGAGGCACTCTGATGGGGACAATCAATTCAAGGGGACACTGATGTGGACAACTAATTACTAGTACCAATGTAACAGTGCACTCTGATGGGAACAACCAATGTAAGGGTGCACTCTGATGGGAACAACCAATGTAAGGGGGCACTCTGATGGGAACAACCAATGTAAGGGGGCACTCTGATTGGAACAACCAATGTAACCGGGCACTCTGATGGGGACAACCAATGTAACCGGGCACTCTGATGGGAACAACCAGTGTAAGGGGGTACTCTGATGGGAACAACCAATGTAAGGGGGTACTCTGATGGGAACAACCAATGTAAGGGGGTACTCTGATGGGAACAACCAATGTAAGGGGGTACTCTGATGGGAACAACCAATGTAAGGGGGTACTCTGATGGGAACAACCAATGTAAGGGGGTACTCTGATGGGAAAAACCAATTTAAGGGGGCACTCTGATGGGAACAACTAATGTAACAGTGCACTCTGATGGGAACAACCAATGTAAGGGGGTACTCTGATGGGACAACTAATTACAAGTTGCATCCATCGGAGTGCCCCCACATTAGTTGCCTCCAAGCAGATTTTTTAAATAAACTAAGCAATTGGGTGTGTGCCTACATACCTTCACAGTAATGTGTTGGCCCTCCGCAATAGTGCCAGTTTCTCATGTGCCCCCTTGAGAAAAATAACCGCCCACCCTTGGTTTACAGCCTCTGTCATGATATTATTTCTGTCTGTGTTCCCACTGCACAGATTCGGGCTCTCTGTATCTGTCCTGTTGACTATTGTTACTGAGGCAGACGATAATGGGAGATTCAGAATTATACAGTTGTCACAGGAAGAGAGGGGAAATCTGCCAAGAGGGTCACCTGATATGGTGACAGGTAAGAGAAGATTTCCCCTCCCTTTGGGCAGAATCTCTTCTATTTCTTGTTTTTTTGCCACACAGATAATGGGGATAAAAAAAACTTGGGTGGTTTAAACTATTCTATGAACCATCAAAAACTAAAAAAAGAAAACATCCGCACCTTTACCTTTCTTTAAAAGAGAACTGAAGCTAAACCTTTTTTTGGCTTTAGTCCTTTTTTTTGCGTCAAAGGAGTATATTTACTAATGCACTCCTGTGACCCAAACTCAGTATCCAGGGGGCTACTGCCCACTATTTACTGATGGTGCAGAGCTATCCTGCAGCCAGGAAAGATGTAGACAATAATGTTGAGATCCAGCACGCTGCCTGATTGACAGCTGGCTCTGCCTCTCTAGATCCAGAGGCAGCTGTTCCCGCCCCCTCTCTTGTGTGTCCCTCCAATGAGCACTAGACCACTGCTCTCTGCACCGCAGTTACCGCTCTCTGAACGAGCAGCGTTTTGTGATCACTCAGCTCTCGACCTATAAAGCCAGCAAGTGACACCCGCAGTGCCCCACACTGGCTCTAAGTATTGGGAAGAATATATATTTATTCTCCCAATACTTCTTTGTTTAATAGCCCCGATGCATCTTTATCCAATATAGGGTTGAGGGGACAGTGTAGAAATAGCCAGAAACAGGAACCATACCGCACTCCTTATCGGGATTCCCACTTGATGAAGATGGGTGCTCGAAATGACTGCGGATGGCACCGCCACACATGAACAATAGAAAAATATCACCAGCACACCATAAGCTGAAAAAGCAAAATATTTTATTGCCAATAGCTGTATTTCATTGGTGTAGAAATAGCCAACACGTTTCAGGGTCTCACACAAATACCCCCTTCAGCAGGGCTTACTAATGGACAACATGTATCAGGACTGTGATGGCTTAAGCTGCCTCCCTAATAAACTTAAACCATTGTCTTTTCTCTTTGCTGTTGTAGTTACATCGTGAGAGTTCGAGCAATGGCGATGACCAGAGACGACTCTAGCGGGGGCTGGGTGACAATGGGAGGATGTCTCAGCCATGTAATGATCTGCAAGGTTCGGCGACCAGACACCTCTCACCGAGACTACCTTATCCGAGGGGAACGGATGCGAGACCAGGCTGTACGTATTCCCATTATATGCAATGAGGGGAATTTATCAAAATCCTGTTTAAAGTGTTAAAGTGTTGTTTCACCTAAAATGATATTTGAGTTGTTAGATTCAGGAATGCCATGGCCAGCTTCAGCCTCAGTGTGCGTTCATTGGGCTGCGTTGACCAACACAAAGGCAAGAAGCTGTGCTTTATATAGGACCTGCTTAATCCAACATGCAGCATTGCTGTGCATTGCGATACGATGGTGCAGACATACATGTGATCACAATGCAGGATGTCACAATGCCGTGTACAGTGCTGCCACACTTCGGGGTTCATCTATAAAAGTTCCGCCAGCCGTATACTGTTCACGTGGTACTACTGCACCTAGATGGCGCTGACAAGTACCGTACAAGAATTTTATATATAGGAATTGCAAATGGCATAAGCTTGGTCTGACTTTTATAAATGAACATCAAAGCCTTGAATGAAGTGTCATTTAAATAAAGTTAAAAAAAAAAAGAAAAAAAATTTATTGTAACAATGCATCTCAGCACGCTTCATGCTCACTAGAATGAACCCCTTTGGGGTATTTTACTTGACTGAAGGAGCTGGAATCAGGCACATGTTTGGATCTTGTGCAATATATGCTTTAAAGAATCTCCCTAAACGAAAATGAGCAGTCAACCCTTGCAGTGCAGGGGTAGCTCCATTCCAGAGGGGATGTTTTTTTTTTTATATCTGGAAATAGGCTTTAAAGGAGAAATATGAGGTGACTAAGACTAATGGCTTATGCACACGGGCATAAGCCCTTAAATCAGTAAGTCTACGCATGTATGCATATGAACGCATGTACATGCATATATACAAATTTAATGAAATGGGCGGCACAGTGGCGTAGTGGTTAGCGCTTCTGCCTTGCAGCACTGGGGGTCGCTGGTTTTGTATCCCGGTCAGGTCACCATCTGCAAGGAGTTTGTATGTTCTCCCTGTGCTTGCGAGGGTTTCTTCCGGTTTCCTGCCGCACTCCAGAGACAGGCTAAAAGGTTAAAGCAGAATTAAGAGGTGAGTGATTTACACTCAGCCTCATAATCTGAGCCGACCTGTGACAACTGTCACAGGTCGGCTCAGTAGATCGGGAAGTGAGCGAACACATACCGACGCTCGCTCACTTCTCGATCTATCCGTGCAGAGGGCCGTGACTGTCACTTCCCCCTCCCCTGTCCGATCCTCCAGCGCTGATTGGCGGAACGGACGGGGGAGGGTACAGCTGGCTCTGCCTCTAGATAGGCAGATCCAGCTGTCACTCACGCAGCTTGGTGGATCCAGACAGAATTGTCGCGATCTGTTCTGGCTGCGGCGTCTCAGTATACCGCAAGCTGTAAGGTGTTGGGAGAACGCTAGTTTGTGTCCTCCCGTTACCCTTAGGAGAACTATGGGGAAAAGCCCAAACACCATAGTTCTCCTTTAATCTTGATACTCCAGTTACTCGATCTCTATGTTTGAGCTCCATGTTCTGCACACCAGCCATTGCCTTCTTACAAGGGGGGGTTCCAAGCTGTCACTTCTCATTTCATCACCTCTACCACCCCTCATACTGAAATGTTCTTTGTAAATAGATCTTGTCTCTGTTCCTATGGCTCACCATAAATATGAGATGCAGTCAGAAGATTCAGCCACCAAAAGATCTTTCACTAACATGTGCAGTGAAAACATTCTCCTGCTTGCATGTGTCTCTCCATCGATGGCTGGATGAGCAAGGCAATGCAAGCTGCCAGTGAGAGTGTGATGCCTCACTCATCCAGCCAATGAGGTGCAACATATTCCATCATTTCACTGCCCTGCTGTGTTCTCCACAGCAGTCCTTACACTGACACTTTGCCGCTACTCTAACATGGCCCTTGGGACTACAGAACACTCCCCCTTTTCCATAACAATGGAGGAACTGTTCCGTAGTCCACAGAGGTATCCTGTGCAAGGCGAAAAAGGCTGCTTGAGATACCACTGCAGAGGTCACAAGAAGTTCTGAGCTCCCTTTTTTGGGAGGATCAGCACTTATCAAGCAGATATCAAAGTTATTTCAAAGTAGTATTAAACTTTCAAACTTTTTTTTTCCAGCAATGAATCCAGATCAAACAAATATACTGTACATTGCTCAGCAGAGTATTTCTTTATATTTTAGCCCAAACACTGAAAGTCATCATGTTTCCAAACAGCTCCAACTCTCTCAGCTTCGCTTCCCCAAACTTCCTGTCCAGTACAAGAACACAGGGGGCAGAGCAGTCTCCAGCAGTCGTCCATCTACTAGCTTAGAGAAGGGAGGAGCAGGAGACTGACTTGCCTTGCTGTGCCTGTGTGTTGGTGGAGACACACGCAGCATACTAGCACACACAGAAGGGTGGCTCCATAGGACCCTGCAAGGGAAAGGAGTCACCCTAAAACAGTATATCAGGGCCAGTGCTTAGGGGACCAGCTGATTCTGCAGGAAGCTAAAACTTTTAAAAATCAAGGAGCTGCATCCATTGTAAATGAAATTTCAACAGCATTTGATAAAGCTTAAAAACTTTTTGGCTTGAATATGAAAATATCACTTGAAAGCAGGGGTGGGCAACTCTGGCCCTCTAGTCATTGTGGAAGTACAAGTCCCATGAGGCATTGCAAGACTGACAATTACAGGCATGACTCCCAGAGGCAGAGCCATGTTGGGATTGTTGGTTAAAGCACAGCTGGGGCCAGAGTTTCCCACCCTGCTTTAAAGGGAAAACATAATGAGGGGAATTTATCAAAACTGGAGCAGACAGACTCTGGAGCCGCTGTGCATGGCAACCAATCAGCTTCTGTCTTTCATTTTCAAAGCTTAAAGGAGAACTATGAGATGAGTGATTTCCACTCACCTCATAGTTCTAGCCGACCTGTGACAATGAGACTGTCACAGGTCGGCTCAGTAGATCGGGAGGTGAGCGAACACATACCGGCGTTCGCTCACCTTTCGATTCTGTCACGGCTCTCTGCCGTGACAGGGGGAGGGGCTGGATTCCCCTCTCCCCGCTCCAATCTGCCAGCGCTGACTGGCGGAACGGACGGGGGAGGGGGCGGGTACAGCTGGCTCTGCCTCTAGATAGGCAGAGCCAGCTGTCACTCACGCAGCTTGGCGGATCCCGTCATCTTGTGTCCTCCCGTTACCCTAAGGAGAACTATGGGGAAAAACACTGACCCCATAGTTCTCCTTTAACTGAACTAACTGAAGATAGAAGCTGAGTGGTTGCCATGGGCAACGGCTTCAGAGTGTGTCTGCTCCAGTTGTGATAAATTCTCCCCATTGTGTACTTTTAGTGAGCACATCTTTTATTTCAGTGCTCACCCTAACGTAAACCTCTCTTGGGAGAAATAAAGAGAGGCTGCCATTTCTGACCTCTCCTTTTTGTTGTCTGGCTGCCATGCTGGTCCCTGACCCAGAAAAACTAATGCTTGCTGCAGGTCAGCAGTTACAAGAAAATGACTGAAGCCAGTAACAGCCATGCAGCTCGCATTCTCACAGGGAGGAGGACTGCAATGGCAAGCCCTTATTTCTTGCAGTACAGGTTTTAAAGAAATGTAAGTCTGTTTAAAATTAACTCCGTTACAAAAACTAGAGGCCATAACCTAAAATTGGTGGAAAAAAAATTCCAGCACAAGGTGCGAAGGGGGTTCTTCACAGTAAGATCAGTTAGGGTCTGGAACTCACTGCCACAGGCGGTGATTTCAGCAAATAATGTGGAATTGTTCAAGAAACTTTTGGACGATTTCTTAAGGGACCGTAATATACAGGGGTACGGGTACTCCTAGAATGAGATCCTAATAGGTTGGACTTGATGGACTAATGTCTTTATTCAACCTCAAATACTATGTAACTATGTAACTATGTATTTTTGCTGTGACGTTGACATTTTATATTCTCATACGGCGACATTTTTATTGGAGTCATTCATGAGATTCACCACTAGAGGGAGCTCTGGATTTGACTCATTCAGCTTTTTTCTCCCATTCAGCCACACAGGAAGCGTGGGTTGGTTGTTGTTTAGACCTCATGCACACGGTTGCAATGAATTTACTAATCATCTACGGATCACCTATGCAGATCCTGCGTCAAATCACAAAATGGTCGATAAAGGGCTTGCATTTACATGAATTGATGTCCTTCAGCGTTCAGATGTGTAAAATTCTACTTCCACAGCATTCCGTTATTATTATTATTATTATAGCGCCGACAATTTACATACATTTTGCTAAGAACTTAATTGCTTGTTGGAGGAAGCAAAAGACTTTTGAATAATAACTAAATGCAAATACAACAATACAGAACATTTGGACTATGCTTTTATTTACTTATCTTGCTGCAGTACAGGGCAAAGAGGAAAAATATTCACCAAATGATTGTGAAGCTGCTGGTAACTTATTAACACATTATATAGCATTTGATATCAGTACATGTCCCTTGAAGGATCCTAAAGTGGAAGGCGGTCAAATGTGAATTTTTAAGAGGAAGCCAATGAACCAACCGGTATGTTTGTGTGGATGTAAAAAAATATCCAATAACTTAGGTTTTCACTGCAAAGGACCCATTCTAACTGTCACAGTGAAACTGACTGTCTTAAAATTTGGGCGGCATTTGCACAAGCCTAATAAAACTTCCTTTGCCTTAGCTGACTGAGCCAAATCCTTCTTCATTTGTTTCTCACATACTACCCTTACATTAGCAGATGGGGTTAGGTAAGTATATATTCTAACTTTTTTATTTACAGGTACTCTTTGGACATACTATTCTTTTACAGGGAGGGGGTCCGTGTAATTTCCTGTGAGATGACCTGGAAGCATAAACTAATGTTATTTCATTTGTGTAAATTACTAATTCTTTTACCCTTCCAGGGATCCCAACCTGAAAGAAGCAATTTCAGGGAGGTGTCCCTCTCATTTAAGGGAGGTGCCCTCTCCCCCCACCCATCCGCGGAGGGGGGGGTTAGTGGGGGGGCTGGGAGTGAGCACCCCCCTGAAATGATGGCAGATAGCACAGGAAGCAATAGCTTCTTTGCTATCTGCAGGTTTTTTTTCTGATTTTTTTTTTTGTATTCTGCATTAGAATGCATAGCTAGATTCCTATTGGCTATTGCACTTTTCAATAGCCAATAGAAAACTAGCTATTGCACCCGCCCTCTGCTGCTTTCAATCACCAGAAGAGGACCTGATAGAAAAATTCAGGTCCCCTCTGCTGATTGACAGCGGCAGTGGGCGGGTGCATTACCTAGTTTGCTATTGGCTATTGCAAAGTGCAATAGCCAATAGGAATCTAGCTATGCATTCGTATGCCTTTTTTTTCTTTTCTGACTGACGACGGGCCGCGGCTCCCGATGTCAGAAAAGAAAAAAAAAAGATCGCAGGGAAAGGTTTATCTGCTCGGTCGAGCAGATAAACCTTTCCGGGAGGAAGTGTTTCTCTCCCGGGCGGCCGGGAGCCGCTATCTAATAGCGGGAGACTCCCGGAGCGTCCGGGAGAGTTGGGATGTCTGCCCTTCATGTAATGGAGATGAATAAAGGCAGACATGTTTGAAACCCAGCCTAGGTGACAACCATGGCTCCCTCCATAGATACAGTGGAGGAGTGAACGTAGCCATCCAGAGGTAGGATGTGTGGTATTTGCAAGTACAAATTAAGGAAAAGGACCTGGAGAAAAAAAAACCGAATGCATCCTCAACATCTAAGGATTGGTTAGCTGCAATATATTACATTATTGTTTTTAGATTGTTTTTTAATTACTTGAAAATATCGCTTGTGTATCTTTGATTTATATACTTCTTTTTTTTTTTTTACTGATATTATAGAAATGATCAGGGTATGGTCACTTTTTTTGTCTGTAAAAAAGTGAGCAGAGATGAGTTATGTCCAAATTTCCTGTTTTCCAGACTGTCTTCGAGTGTGTCCTGAAGAAGGGCCTAGTGTACAATAAAGCCAACCCCATATTCCACCACTGGAAAGTCGAGGAGAACAAGTTTGGGCTGACCTTCCAGAGTCCGGCTGATGCTGTAACATTTGAAAGGAGCGTGCAAGCTGCCATGGAGGAACTCGCAGAAGGTTTGTTATGAAGTCCACTGCCCTGTAAGATATATTATTGTGGGCCCTGTGGTATCTCCTGAGGCAGAAAAAGGGTCAGAGTATTTTTTTTCCTTTTTTTTAGGATATGGCCTTGCCAAGAGGATGCAATTCAGATATATTTTCTTTCCTTAGCATGCTCAATACTAAAAATATATTTAAAAAAAACTGCTGCAGGTGTAAAACACAGGCAACTGCACATAGCTGAAGCAGCCTCTAATACCCGGGGGTTGCAGTAGGTACAGGTGCCTGCACTTATATACCTGCAGAATATTTTTTCGAAAGCATCTGTTTAGACTAGGGTTGCACCGATACCCTTTTTTTCAGTATCGAGTACGTGTACCAATATATTTTTTTCGATACCGATACCGGAAGTCACATAAAGGAAGCCGGGCGGCGGGTAATGACTTGTCACCTGGCTTCCTGATTCGTCGGGAAGCTGGGCGGTGTGTAAAGACTCGCCACCCAGCTTCCTGATTAGCAGGGAAGCTGTCTCCATGCTCCCTCATCACCAGGTGACGAGAAAGCATGGAGCCGGCTTTCTGACCAATGAGGAAGCCGGGCACCGTGTAATGGCGCGTTGCCTGACTTCCTGATTGGTCCAGAGGCCGGAATCAGTGCATCCCTAGTTTAGACATAATATAATGTGTATAAATATGTCATATTCACCACATGATGTCAGCAGGTGGCAAGCTGCAGGCCAGAGCACCATCTCCCTGTGGGCTTAGATAATAGCTGTCCAGTAGAATAGATCTGAATAGAGAGGAGATACAGGAATGTAATTCCCATTGTATGTGTTCTGTAAGTGTAATTAACCATGAGACAATAGATATTTCTTGCCAGCACCTTTCCAGGTTTATATGGAGGCGGTATTAGGGTCACTTTCAAAAGCTTGTCATGGTGCAACGTTTTTTTTATCTTCCACCCATGGTCGCTTTGTCCCCCTCCAATGCTTTGTTGTCTTTTCTTTCTGTGAGATAATCCTCCCATTACAAGAGCTTGGAGATCTGGCCTAGAATCAGAGGATATGTGTGACATTACACTGTGAGTGAGGTATGGCAAGATTGTGGGGCCATTGTTAGAGTTCATAAATGATGTAATATATACTCAAGATCAGAACTAAATAAGACATTAATAAGAATTTTATTATCCCCTTGTCTGCAATCTGTAAACGTTTTCCTGCATGATGCCCTGTGCTGAGGGTTTTCAATAATCTATGAGTCCCCTTTAACAAGAAGTAGCTAACAATTTGTGCGACAGTTACTTGTTGTACCCTGCGGTCACTAACAGCTCCAGTCCTCTCTGTCACTTTGTACCTTATATAGCTGGTTAATGTGATATGAAAGTTAGGGAGTTCACTGCAGTAGGAAAGGGTGTCACAAGACAGTTAGCCTAGGGGGGCAGATAGTATAAATCCAGCCCTGCTTATTAGTGACATAAAACTATCCAGTATATCCATGCCTGTGCTCAGAGGCTGACTGGCAACTTTTAGCCCAGGGGGCAAGTACAACTTGGAGGCCCATGGTGCAGCAACTTGGCCTCCCTCCCGCTCTGGGGGGCAATTGCCACCCTGCCCCCCGGCCCAGTCCGTCCATGCCTGTGCTCTATACACAAGCCAAGGTATTGAGGTTCATATGGCTTGATTATAGTCAGCGGCATATCCAGAGTATGGCTCTGGGTACCACTTGAAGGGGAAAACACCGCTCTATGCGTCAGAAAACGTCCGTCAACCCACGTGGACAACATACTTTTTTCTCTTCCCACCCCTCTCCCATACACATCTCCCCGCCCGACTGTTAGGAACCAGGGACACTGGCCGGCGGGCTTCTCAGCCCATGGCAACCAGTGACCACCCAACCTGGGTTAAACGCCAGTAAGAGTGTCCCAGGTTGCTAAGAGCTGGGAAGGGAGACGTTTAAGGGTCATATACAGCTCCCTGCCCAGTTCATAGCAACCAGGGTGGGCGGGAGATGTGTATGCAGACGGGACGCCAGCCAGAGCATCCCAGGACGCTAAGAGCTAGGCGGGGAGATGTGTACAGCCCTTAAACATCTCCCTGCCCAGCACTTAGCAACCTGGGACACTCTTGCTGGTGTTTTACCCAGGTTCGATGGCCATTGGCTGGCAGGAACTGGGCAGGATGCCAGCCAGAGTGTCCCTGGGTGCTAAGAGATGGGCAAGGAGATGTTTAAGGGCCATATACATCTCCCCTCCCAGTTCATAGCATCCAGAGTGGGCGGGGAAATGTGTATGTGGACGTGACGCCGGCCAGAGTATCCCAGGCTGCTAACAGCCAAACGGGGAGATGCATGGCCCTTACACATCTCTACACCCAGATAGTAGCAACTTGGGATGCTATGGTCGGTGTCCTGTGCAGCAGATGGCAACCAGTGACGCCACTGGTTGCCAGAAGCTGGGCAGGATGTTAGGGGCGTAATTTGTTGTTGACATGCCTCCTGATTGTATTCACAATGGTCACCTCATAGGTGAAGCTATGCTGTCGAAGTAAAATAAATTCAAAATAGCTGACATTAACCATTCAATTAAACAAATATGAGAAAGTTGTGTCTATAAGATACTATTCAATCAAATGTGAAACGGTACCCTTAAAATAGACACAGGGGACAGCTTCGCCCCTCAGCGGGGCGGGCTTTCGATGATCGCAAGTACGATCTGCCCGTCCAAGGTGGGCAGATCGTACGCGCTTTCAAGAAGCATACGACCATCGCAAGACAAAAGTCTTGCGATGGTCGTAAGGTGTATGGGCACCTTTGTTCTACAGTGCTTCTAATGTTCATCCAGCTGTACTGGATCATTAATTAATAGATTTACCTGGTAGCAGATATGTGAATATGAGTATTGTCTGAGGTAGCCACACAACAACCAGTGGATGTCCACGCAGGCCCCACACAGGGCCTAGCTCGCCTGTCTATTCATATCCAACCTCTTCTCTCCCCACAGGGTCTCTGTCACATTCAACATCCTCATCATCATCCTCCACTTCTCGGGAAGAAGCGCAAGCTTTGGAGGATGTCATTCCAGTAAGTATATAAGCAAATGGTGCGGATTAAATTATATATATATTGTGGAGAGTCAGCAGGGCTGAGAGCAAAGAAGGGGTTAACTTACTCGGCACTGCCCCTGCCAAGTGCCTGAACACACCTTTCAATACCCAGCTCCAGATCTATGATGGCACCGTCTAGTGAAGTGATCTGCTGCCCAACAGTATCTGCATAGTTCTGGATGCAGTTCTCTCTATACATGGCTTCCAAAGTCTGCCCTGTGCAGGATCCATCAGGCAGAATATCAATGCCTAAGATGTAGATCTCACGACGGAGCAGCATCTTTATTTATTGCAAGAAATAGGTGCTTTTTAATAAAAGTAATAATAAGATTTGACGGTAATGATATATGTGCTACTGATTCATGTGAAGTGGGAATTTTAATAATAGGTCCAGTTTAATTTTAGTGCTCAATCAAGGGCAATAGAAAAGAAGGTTACTTAGAAAGTTTACAGGCAACAAAATAAATACATTTTTGTTTATTTTGTATAAAGTGGGGAAGGTTTAGAACCCATCATCTTATATTGCTGTCCCAGATTCACTGTTTCTATTTGTCCTCGAAACTATTTTTAAGGGGACAGAAAGTGATGGCAAGTCCAAAATGTCATGGTCGTCACTGGAACGGAGGAGTTAAGGGGAAATCCTCTTGTGGGGAAACCTATTCTGGTCAGATTTGTCTTAAGAGCAGATTCAGGGAGGTTTCAGCTCACTTCCTGTTGTATCTTTATGACAGGAAATGATGGGAAATCTCCCCAGCAGAACAGCAAAGGAAAACAAAAGCCTGACAGGTATCTCTATGTTACTAGCATTGTGTTCTCTAAATGATACATTCACCTTTTGTTTCTTCATCTTCCACTTTACCAGCTTCATACAGACAGTGAATCGTCTTCTAACAGCCGGAAGGAAATGTTACCAAAACATATCACCATCGTCACTAGCGAGTCATCTTCCAGCTGCTATGCGAGATCGCCTGTTTCTGAAGAGTTCGGTTTTACTACTGGTCCATCAGTTAGTCCTACAACACAGGTATATCTCTGCCCAGATTGTTATGCCAGTGCAGACCTATGTCATCTTGTAACGGGATTGAAACTCACATTTTAAAGCAGAACCAACTTTGTTTTTTTAATTTTAGATGAAGTAGTGTGTGGCCTTATCCTGTTATTGTAAATTGGGTTTTTATGTCTACTGACTTATGCTACGTACATATACATATTTGCTTTGCCATTTTCCCGGGTAGTGTAAGGACTGGCTAGAGAGGATTGTTTTGATGTAGCTGAGCAGCTTGAACATATATTGCAATATATGCAGACTGAGAATGATTGTTTTTATGTAAAGTTTGCTAGAAGGCGGTGTAAACATGCAAACATGGTGGTGAATTGAGAGTATTAGGTGCAGTATAATACACATAACAGGCCCAGAATTAAAGAGACACCTTGCCCATTCAGTGTTACAAACATTCCCGACCACTTCACATACCTCTCCAGCACTTCCATGCAGCATCTTACTCCATTGCAGCTGCTGCCGAAATACCCTGTGTCAGCTGGTGTCAGAGATCAGAGGGAACGGTGATGTCACATGACAGTGCTTGGGCCTAGTGATTGGGAACTTGGCCCAAACAGTGCATAATGGGAGGAGGTGACATAATTACCTGGGAGCACCAAGAATTTTGAAGTTCTGGCCTCAGAAAAACAAGTGGTGGGGAAGCACTGGAGAGTAGAGTATGGAGTGGTTGAGTGTGGGCTTTTTACAGACATTGTCATTTTACCATGAATGGGCAAGGTGTCAGTATATCTTTAAGATAGGTTTAGACAGACACAGCTGTGGTGAAACTACCCATCATGTCTCTGTCGTTGGGGGTCATGTCTGAGGCTGTCGGAGTCTTGCAATGCATTATGCGACTTTTGTGGTTTCACCACAGCTGGAGTGCTGAGGTCGACCTACCCCTACTTTAAGGTTAAACAACTTTGTGTTTTTGGGAATTTAAAGGTTTATAACTGACATGGTAAAATTTCCACTCTTCTGCAGTCACAGCCTCTGCAGCGCCTGTCTTTCCATGATGAAGAAGAGCTCGAGAGCATCAACCCTTGCAAAGACCTGTGGGTGTCGAAGGGTTATGAAGACTACAGGCGTGCGGCTCTTCAGCGGCCTGAGCAGGCCAAGACTGACCTGCGTGTCCACTTCCAAAAAGCCAGCGGGAGCAAAGCCAAGGACAGGCATTTTCCAGCAGTGGTGGCCACGACGACAGCAGAAAGTGAAGGGCCTGTGAAGGACCCTAGAGCCTCTCCTTCCTGTAGGATTCATGGCACCCCTTCTCCTAAGTCTAAAGAACACTCTCACATGGCAGGGGAGGAGGACGCAGCCACTGCCCGCTGCGTGTATTGCAGGGACGTGTTCAGCAGTGAAGAGAACGGTAGAGGGCAGTGCCAGGATGCTCCAGACCCCATAGAGCGTTGTGTCTACCAGCTTTCCTGCATGTGGTGTGCTGAGAGCTTACTGTACCACTGCATGTCAGACTCAGAAGGCGAGTATTCGGACCCCTGCTCCTGCGACCCGGGGCACCCCCACTTTTGCATACGCTGGGTTGCCCTGGTAGCCTTGTCCCTCGTGGTCCCCTGCATGTGCTGCTACCTCCCACTACGGGCGTGCCACTGGTGTGGGGAACACTGTGGCTGCTGCGGGGGTAAGCATAAGGCAGTGCGGTGAGAGGAGGAGAACAGGGTGTAAGCAGGAAAGCGTAACGTTCTGTCTCTAACCTCCTGAGAGCCAGCAACTATTTATATGGCGAGATCTGCCACCGTCTTTGTGAGCGCGCAGGTCTTGCGTCTGGCCGGAGGTTTGTGTTTTATTCAGACAGGCTGCAAAAGGCAATGACCTACCAAATAGAGGCAGCAGGGAATTCTGTTAAGAAATGGTAGATCCAGCAATTACAAATCAGCTTAACAATATACCAGTCTGTTACTTATTACAGGTCGGGGTTTAGATTCCAAAGAAGACCAAAAAGAGATAAGGTCAGTTTGGAACTCACTGGGACTAATTTAGAAGAACTGGAGTAAAATTGGAGCTGAAGCCCAAAGAAGCCAGACCAGCACTCTGGGGACGAGTTATGAAAAGAGGAGCTGTTGGCCATAGCAATCAATCAGGTTTTGGATTATAAACCCAAGTACAGCCAAAGCATTTCCTTTAATATTGTGAAGTTTTAAGTCACCTTTTACACAACGTCAGTCAAATCCTCCTGCCTGCCAAGGAGGCAGAATCTGAAAGGCACATAACAGACTGGCAGCATTGCCAGTAGCAACTCAGCAATTGAAAGGAGATTCCCCTTCACTTCCTGTCTCACTGACAGCAGGACGGGAAGCAAGGGTGGACACCCCAATGGATATAGACACCAATAAAAGATATGTTAAAGGTTTTCACCCTTCCCCACTCAATCCAGAACTAACACATATTTTAGCTAGATCTTAACTTTTTTTAGGCACCTTGCTGCTGTGCAAAACATTTCTAATATTCTTTCATTCTCTTATGATTTACCTATTAATTCCCATTGTTCATTTGTAAGCTACAATTTTCTTGCTTGCTACGGACAGCAGCTCCACTTTTACTCCAGTTTTAATGAATCAGCCCCTAAAATCAGGAAGCTGCATCTTAAAAGGAGGCATGAGGCTTGATTGCTTTCCATTATCTCTGAGAGGAACTTATTTGGCTGATATATTTAATTTAACCACTACTTGATTGTTATATTAATTTATGTTGTAATTTCTTGGTTAATATATACCTACCGATTCGTTTTCCAAAAATCAGAGCATTTGAAGCTCAGCCCGATTTGCCCCGAGCTCCATTCTCCCCAAATTACCCATATATGGGCAAACCGCACCCATTTTCCCTAAACCCCCAGAATTTGGTAGTCAAATCGGGACAGTTGGAAGGTATGGTTAACATGAAGAACTAGGCCAAATTGATATATTTTGCCATTGAAAGGGTATAATTTATTTCAGCACTATGTCATGTAATTATTGTAAAATAGTTATAATGTCAGATTAATACTTTTTATATTCCCAACTTTATTTATTATAGTTCGGTCAGTCTCGCCTCATCCTATTGCAATTCATAACACAGACACAGTGGCCTTTTATTTATTAAGGCCAAAGAGCAGTATACAGAAGTCCAAGCAGCCAATCAGAAATGATCTTTTTTACTAGTATGAACCTGATATCCGATTGATTGCCGTGGGCTATTCTACGTCACTGCTGTTTGCACCACTGGGGGTATTTAATAAGGCAGTGCAGAGGACAACAATCATGCACAAAGGACATCTGCTCAGAGCAACCAGCGAGATTTGAGTTTATGGTGGTCAGATCGGAGAATGATAAATTGTGATTGGTTGCTATGGATTATTGCACTTTGCTCGCTACTTTTGTCCTTAAATAAATAGGCCCCGGGGGTTAATAAACCAATCCCATTTGAGGTACAGAACAGCATAATGAACTAATGTAGTTGTTAGATGCCTCTGAGGCTGGGAAAGGGAAACTACGATGATTACAGATCATTACAGATATGTTTGGATATTTGAACTAGAAACAGTAAATATGAACTCAGAATACATACAGTACAATGACTCTAAAAAACGAAGAAATCTAATTTAAAGAGGGACTCCAGGAATTACAAATCTAACCCTATTTGGGGCTACACCTGCACTGCAAGGGTTAAGTCGTCTTTTTGGTCTAGGGGCTTAAATAAAGAATATACTGTACTTATCTGATCCTTGGTCCAACTGGCCTGCTAGACCGGTCCCTGCTGCTCTGCTGGTCTAAGGAGTGCTGACCGTATTACAGGAATGCATCTCCAATGACCAGTCATTCCACAGCCGGAGCAGAGGGAGAGAGAGGTGAGTGCCAACCACTGCGGGACCGAGGATTATGTGAGTATATGTTCTTTATTTTTCCCCCCTAGACAAAACAAGCACTTTACCCACTGCAATGGTAAGTTTTATACAATCCTGGAATTCTTCTTTAAGCATCAAACCGATCATTTAAAATGCCAGTCCATAATATTATAGGTGAATGGACTTTTTAACACTGCATCTACCTATACAACCTTTCATTGCCCCCTCAATGCCCATCTGCCAGGCCGTTCTAACTTCCAGGTAGTGTCAGCTGCTACTGTACCTCCACCACCTATATAATCCTATTGGTCTATCACTATGATGGGCTGCTTAACTGGACAGCAGGAACGTGTGAGAGGCAGTCAGTCGTCATCAAGTAAGTGCAGGAAGGCCTAGTATTTGGTCATATAGGGGGCAATAAAAGGTGCCTGTCCTTTTTACCTGCTGGAAGCTTTTATTAAAGTGACACTTTAAAGCTCAAGGCAACACCGGTAGCAAGAGTTTCTGCCTTTTGCACTCAATGGAGTCTTGCAAATGTTGAAACTCCATCCCAGAGATCTTTTCATTAAGTAATTTACAAAGACTATGGGGCCTTAATTGTATGAAGAACTGCTTGGACTGCTTATAGCAACCAGTCAGATTCTCCCTTTCAGTCATTAATAATATATATATAAAAAGAGGACTTTGCACTACTATCACATTGAAAAAAAAACACAATCTGTAAATAATATAGCATTTCAGCTTCAAACTATCATGTACCAGATTTGCTAGTGCCACTGTCCAGTGCACACATGGCCTGCTTTCTCTCGGAGTGTATTCTGAAGCTGCCATACTTAGTCGGTAGAGAGAAAGGTTAATTCCTCGTATCTCCCCTCATTGCCTCTGAGGATATCTGTGCTGGGTAGGAGAGAGTTTGCTGACATCACATATCACATGGCCAGCAATTTCATCAGAACCATGTTATCAGCTTGGCACTGTGTCACGCCAGGTCGCAAACAGCAAAGTGCCACGTGTTTTACTGCAGAACATAACACATGTATAGTTTTACACATACATGCACCTAATTTTCAGAGCTAGGGGAGCAATGCAGATTATACAATTTAAAATGTATTTATGTTTCACAGAAGGTCCATTTTATATACTTGTATTTGCAAAACTGATGATTTACCCGATATCAAACTTGTCCGTTGGAGTTGCACTTTAAATTGAGGGTAAAACTAAACAGTAGGTTATTCCAGCCTTTCGAATTTGGTCTTTTGTGGAACTGAACTCTAATGCTATACGGTTGACAAGAAGCTTGGAGGTACTGCAATGGGGTCTAACATATGTCCTAAATGGGGTTGAGCATTAGATTTCATGCAGTTAGAGCCTCTATAAACAGAAAAGCTAATATGGTTGGATCTCAAGATTTCAAACCAACGCAGTGTAAAGGAAATCACTGTTTATGGTTGACCGGATGGTGGTGAGCCAATCCTTGGCTTAGTCCTTTTGGACCGAACCACCCATGTTTCCATTATATCCCAGTGGTGCCCTTGTAACCCAGTTCTGTTCTTTGGTGTCCTTTGTATGCTTTTACATTTGCATTTATGCCAGTGACTGATGGGAACACCTCTGATAGATGAAAATGTTGAACTAAAACAGCTATAGAAAGTAAGCCAAATGGAATTATCATAATAAAAACATAGGATCCAAAACTTTCGTATAGCTGTTTTAAAAAAAATAATCATGCACTTGATGTGACAGACAATGAAGGATGGGGGTGTTCTATGCCTTTTTTTTTATGCCGGAGACAATGGTAATAAATGATAAGGTATTAAAATGACTGAGTTTATACCTGAGACCTAAATGGTTTGTTAATTTGAGTACCCGTTAATTTGTTCTGAATGAGTGTTTGTAAATTTAACAGACTTCCCTTTATTATGTGGCACAATGCAAAAAGCATAAATGTGCAGTTACTCATGGCAACCAATTACAGCAGTTTCCAGTCAGTGCTTGCCCTGCTATAAAAGTAAATTCTACAATGCAGTTTAGGGTTTTAGCAAATCATAAATATATAGATAGGATATCAGACCTGTTGTAAAGCATTAAAGTAACCCTGTGCTTTGTCTATGTATAGCAAAGCAGCAGAGTCACATATAGTAACTTTCCCCATCCCCAGCAGTATATATGCCTGCCATGACTTTGCCCTGCCTCTGCTTTGATCAGCTGCCAGAAGTGGAGAGAAAAACCTGCCATTGGTATAGAGAAGCATGTGGCTCACTCCCGCTATCCCACATGACAGCACTGGTGCCTACTGATTGGCCCATTACTGTCTCATGTGAGGGAAGGAACGAATCCTGAGCCCTGTGTAAGCTCTGTCTCCATTGCTTTGGGCTTACATAGGGTTCTCTGTCCAGGCTGGGTATCTAATAAAGCAAAGTAAAGGTTTGTATGTGCTGTTGGGAAGAGGGGAAAAAATAAGGCACCATGCTGCTTTATCCTGCGCTGGGTCACTTTAAGGAGACATGTGGATGGGATGTTTTTCTAGTTGCTATGATTTTTTTTTTAATGAACTTAATAATACACATTTAAAGCTGAACTCCATGCAAAAAGCTAATACACAATTGAAGTACGTAGAATATATATATAAACTGATTCAATGCCAGAAGATTTCTCATTTTGTTTAGCTAGTCTTGTTTGTTGGCAATATCTTGCTGCATTGGGGGCAATGCTACAGTTACAATTTAATACCTTTTGAATGCTTTTTAGTGATAGTCCACATTAATGTGCCAAAGATTTTATTAGACTCCCACCATCACCATCTCTCCTGTGCCAGACAGACATTAAGTTGACAACTTTTTCAATAATCGATTATGTCGATTAGTTGTTGCAGCCCTAATACATTTGCTACTTGGTATTTCCTAAAACTTATTATAAATTCTTTGGCAAACATTTATGAACAATTAGGGGCTACTAGTAACAAATCTACACACATCAAGGGGTATTTCAAATTTGGTGGCCCA